GAAAAAGTAAAACATTGACACGGACGACGACGACGACGGAGGACAATCACTCATATGATAAGCTCCGCTCGACAAAGTCGACAGCGGAGCTAAAAATATGGACTTCACTGCAAAATGCAATTTAATTATTCTGAATGCCTAAAACATCCTAATTTAGCTGTTGCAGAATGAGTGGTGTTTGGAGTGTTGGTCTTGTGCTTTACAAATTACATAGACAACTTATAAATTGTACACATTTTGTGAAGCTACCATGAAGCAAGATTCAAAGACTAATCGTTTATTGCGATGGAGAAAAAACAAGATAGACACCCATTTTGTTTATGTAGACAGGTCAACTTTTCAATGCAATCAACCCTATTCAGACGTGAAAAAAAGATGACTACATGCCATTCATAGGAGATACTGAATTGTTCAAGTTATGAAAACATTGAGTTACAAAAAAGTCCATACCACACCCACTTTTGTGGAACCACAAACAAATTGTAAATCTGTTAAATTACAAGTTACATTTTTGGTTTTGTTTAACGTTAAAATTTGTACAAGCAACTTACAACATTGTCAGGGTTCTGCAGCTCAAAAAGAACGCTTGAGTGTGAGAGTTCATTGAGAGAAAAAAAATTGCACAACAACAGTGTACATGGCTGAAGTAAGTAATATTTTAAACAAATATATAATATTTTCACCTTTCTAACTTTGATACCTAGCGGATCTCAAAACATGAACCAATCAAATGTGATCACTGCACTACTATATACAATGACTATCGACTTAAAAATATTTATAACCATATTTGAATTTTGTGAAGTCAACAAGATCAGGAAGTCTGTATGCTTGATCAAATAAGCCCAACATCTCATAGCAGCCATTTTAATTAAGATAGTGTTTGTGCTGTTCAACTTACAGTTTTGACCAATTAAACATGCTCAATTCAGGTTTGCAAAAGATGACATCAGGATGAAATTTTAAAATGTTTACCTCAAATAAAAATGTTATTAATCCAAACAGCAAACAAGGTGTGCAGGGTAATGTTGCAAGGTGCAACATTACATAATTTCATAATTTGGTGTTAACTTCATGTACTTTATATGTGTTCTTGTTTAATTTTTACAAAACAAGTGTCACATATTTGGATATTTTGTACTTGTAGTCTTCGTAGTAGCTTAACACAATAACATTTAACCTCATTACAAGGGTTATTATGAGAATTTTGCTGCAATTTAAAATCTGAAAGTATTCAACATCACTCTGTCATATAACATATTTTTCCACAATGGATTCATAATGCAAGATAATGTTTGAACTTTTTCCAACGCAATATAAAACTACCAGGTAGTTAACATCTACACGTGTTGATTTTTTCTTAAAATTGTTAATTTGCTTACAATTACATACATACAAATTCCATTAATTATCTTCATAAATGTGTAACTTAGCCACAAACAATTTGATAAACTTGTCAATTTAATGTTACAATTGAAATATACTGTCTTGTGATAATGTAGTCTCTGTAGTAGGTTAAATTTTCAACAAGACATGCAAAGTTGGCGCAAGTGTTATAAAAAAGTCATTGTATTTTGTGATTCAAGACTGCTGTCAGTAATGATGCCTAACTAGTTATTCTCTCTGTTTTCATTATGTCTTCAAATAATGCATTATGTCATGCTGTGAGTAAAATTTCAAAAAATCATTTTTTTGGGTCATTTTTTTTTCAAAATACATAATAACTTCAAATGTATCGAATAAAGAGAAAATGTTTTATATGAATACTCAAACCTGAGTTTTTTTGTTCAATGGTTTGCACTGAATAAAATTTGATTAAATTATCTCATGTATGTAATGTATTTCTTTTAATAATATAGTTATAATGTATGTGTGTGTCGTCTCCGTAGTACCACTTTTGAGTGTGGACTATCATCAACTAAATTCCAGATAAAAATAAAACTATACATGATAAACTCAAAAAAAAATCACTACTATATAGCTGATATATGTTGCTACATATTTGCCTCAAATTCAGGGGAAAAAAAATCACCTTCTGTGAAACTCAATAGGCACACCTGATCTTGCACTGGCCGAAGGCATTCTGCACATGAATTTGTTGCATTCAAGGAAGTTGAAACCTGAAATTATGCAAGAAATTTCAAACTTCAAAGTGACTAACACAATTTTTAGTATCGTTATTATTGTTACTTTTTGTTGTTCTAAAGATTGAATTATGTATGACATAAATATTTCACTCACAATACAATATTTCAACTAAAATATGTAATTAAAAATTCAAAGCAACTAAAATTGTAAAAAGAATATATCAAGTTTCGTGTATAAAAACACAAGCGCTTCCTGAGACCGCACAACACACCAACCAATACGTGTGTGTGTAGCACAGGCAGGGAGGCGAATGTACCGACGACTGACTACTTTAGGTCATTTTTATTATCCAAGAAACGTTCCGAGCGCTTGTGATGTGTAGTCTACACTCAACGTTCAACGTCAATAAAATTACTGTACCCATTTTCCAATGATTGTTATAAATAGTCAATAAATGAAATGCAAGCATAGAAGGGACCAAACCCTGGACCAGTGGGAGTAGTAATACAAAACTGACTGTAAACGGTCTGAAAATTAAATTGACCTGGCTGAAGTAAACTTTACCAGAGCCGCTTACAGGGTCCACTTGATCGACGTTCAATAAGTGTGTATGCAGAACTCATTTGACCAGTTCCCCAGATCTATTTTCAAATTCGATACTCACCTTGGATCAATTACGTCCAAAATACTAATATCTCGCCTAAAATCGCAGGAAAGCTAAAAAATCAGTCCAGTCCGGACTCAACTTACTTTCAAAATGGCCGCTCACTTAGAGTTTCTTCTTTTGAATATAACACAAACTACTATTAGTCAATACATCAATACATGAACTTTTTTATCCAATAGGAGTCACTCTTTCAAATTCGAAAACAAAAATCATGAGATCTCGCGATAGTCTGATCTCGCGATTCGTGCGTGGTCTGCAATACGAACAACAATGCGCATGTGTACAGAACTTCAAAGATGGCGATGAGTGTACGTAGTGAGTGAATGAACCAGAATGAAAATGAAGCGAAAATGCTGTCGGAAACTGTTATTTTGAACAGAAACTCATGAAAAACACATATACTACGGTAATGGAATCTTCTAAAGTAGACTCAGCGATTGAAGCAACCGAAGATTTGTCTAAAAATACCCCGAAACGTAAGATAAAACTTCCCGGGAGAAGGGTGAACTTTCCTGACGATAGCGATATTGTGTCAGAAACGTTTGACGCATCAGATCCATGGAGGGCAGGTGAGATCACTTATAGTTATATTGTACACTTATAGAATATTCGATCACGTAACGTAGTCTGATCGTAGATGTGCAATTGCAAATGCACGTAGAATGGAGCATATTTATGGTTGTTTTATTTATTTGTCACTGAATTTCTAATAATATTCCAGCTCGAAATGCGAACACAGAACAACTTGTAGAAGCTTACAAGAACAGCTGTACGGAATGGAAGGTGAAGCCCATTCCAAAAGTGCTACAGCAGTTGTATGTAAGTATTGACAATTTAAATTTTGTAAATTTTTCTTTCATTTTGTTTCCAGAGTTTAACATGTTGCCATTTCCTGTACTAGAAATGAATATAATGTCTATGTATAGGTTCACGAAAACCCCTGTTACCTCATTCAAGTTATTTACGATCTTATGTCCTGGAACAGAATAAATTTTACATGTTTGATATAAATTGTACATTTTTTGTCTCTTCTATCATATTTGCTCTACTGTGCAATCACCTTTCTATGTTCCTAATGGTATAAATTGCTGTATGTCAATGGAATAGTTATCAAAACAAACAAAACTAGTGTACACAGTCATTGGTGTGTCTATGTTCATGGCATAATACTAGTAAATATGTGCATTCAGCTGAACAGCTCATTAAATGTGGTTGATTTAAACTGTTCTAATCAGGTATCAATCTTGAGATGCGCATTGAAAACCAGTCGGCAACTTGGCTGGCAATGTAACTGTTCAGAACAATATGATAGTGACAGTAAGTATGGTCTGTCGTATATGTATGGTCAAATTAAGTCGTACAATATGAGAA